GGGATTCGAAGGGAATTGATTGAAGGGAGCAAAGATCATGAAAAGGAGGATCCAATAAATAATATAACAGAAAATGTTTCTTCGGCTCCGTCTCGAGGATCTCGAGTACTGTATGTTTCGCTCGGGTTTCAAGGCCACTGCTTTTGTTCGAAAGGGAAGCTCCATTCTTCGTGCTCCGGGCAGATCCTCTAAAACGTTAGTTTTTCCTGGCATCTCGCGCAAGCCAACCTCTCCCCGTCCAGTCGGTCAACGGGTTTGGCGAACCTTGCAGTCGTTAGCATCGGTTTGAGAATGAGTCTATTCCACAATGGGATCAAGCATCGAAGGAAAGCCCGACGTATCATATCGGAATTCAGGCATGAGCAGAGAGCCAGAAAAATAAAATAATCATAATTCGGGAGTCAACATTCATGTCAGAGCCACTGTCAAATCAAGGCCCGTAACCGAAGGCCCATATTGCCCTGGTTCCTTTTTTCTTTTCTTTTTTTATGGATGAACCGGATACTCCGCCAAAAATACAAAAGTGTGTGAGACAAACACCACACATTGCAGTCAGAACGTTCTGTGATTGTTCTGGTCCCGGGACTGATGAATGGTCCCGTAAGATGGAAGGTCCCAGGGTCCAAAGGATCCCCAACATAGGCGTGTGGGATCCAAAAAGTAAGGCGACGCTTTATCGTCCGTCTCGAGCTCGCCGCATGGTAGCGATTGGTCGCTCTGCCTAGCATTGGGTAGACGTGCGTCTGAGACTCCCAACTGGCTGTTTAAGCAATACCTGACCTGAACAGGATCCAGCACCAGGGGACACGGGCCCGGCTCGCTGAGTGGCTGCCACGAACCCCAGCGCCAGAATTTAAGGTCCCGGTCGATTTCGCACCTGAGCTAAGATATACTCAGTAGACTTCGCTCCTCATGTGGTCGCTGCTCTTGCGCTCCTCGTACTATACCTTTTTGTTCTGGTCCCGGGAAGCCATCCACCATCTGATCATTCATTCATATTGCGCAGCATATCTCCGTCTTTATTTATTATTCTCCATCCTTATTCTGCATAAGTTCGATACGCGTCTCAGAACTTAGTACATGGACCTGAACATCGGACATGTACAGTACATGTTCAACATGCATTCAACATGCATGCACCATGTCATCGGGAACCCTAATTTTCTGGACGGTGGAAAGCCATCAATATCGAGAAGAGGGCATAGCATGGGAGAAATGGTAGTGGTTTTCATTTCCAAGCAAGGCAACAGTGGTGCTGAGGATGCTATCCACCAAGTTGTCCCTGGGTTTCTCTCTTTCTCGTGTAGTTCGGGGCGTCGTGGTCATGTTGCTTCGGTAAAAGCTGGCAGTTGAGGAGGAATGGATGACCGTTGTTTGGATGACCTCATTCGTGCTTCTTTCTCCCTCTTAACTTTCCTGCATCCCGCTTCAGGAGTCAGCATCACTCTCTATTGACCTCCCTATCTCTTCATATTCTACAGATTTATAGAGTACTGGCCAGTAAATTCGCCGAACACTCTCCGTTCTCGCTCTGGCATCATTATTCTCCATCCTGTTTCAACATCGATTTACGACCAACTCTGTTCTAGAGCCTCTAAAGATAGACTCTGAAGTTCAGTTATGATAGCTTTTTCCTTGAACCCGCATCATTCGCATGATGCGTACGTCTTCGTCATCACGATGCCGCCTAGTGTCGCTCCCTATTAGTTGATATTTTCAACACATTTAACACCTCCATGTCCCACGATCAGAAAGACCGGCGTTCCATCAGAATATGCGCCTCCCTGGGACTTTCTCTCGTGTCTCTTCTTATCCCCATCTCCCGATCCCTTTCCTTGGCAGCCATGTTTCCCAATGTAAAGAGCAGATGCCTATTTCCCCATTAAATACGGACTCTAGTCTGTCTTCTCGTCCTTCTTCCTGAGAGGGAAAGGCGTGAGAAATAAATGGACGATCTACAAACCCGAGATCTGAACCAAAGCACGGGGAGAAAGAAAAAGGAAAAAAAATTTCATGAGAAAAAAGAAAATAAAATTCATGCGTAAACACCACGCCCTCATCAGATAGATCTCCCCCCACTTGCACTTTTCCTCTTCAAATCGAAAACCGAACGATCATTGTTACCTAGGTAGTTTAATCAACAAGCCAGTTCATCAGTCAATCATATCCAAGCTCTCGATTTCAGTCTGCTCCTTCGCTGAATAAACAGCCAGCAGTCAACTACGACCCCACCCAGTCGGATGGCGCCCCCAAAGACCCAGATGCACGAGAAACAATCATAACTAATCAATGAAGGGCCGATAACCGGCTAAAGCGAAGTAAGTGCGAAGAGAAGAGACAGAAAAAGGATCATTTCGGCCTGAACGCCTCACATCTCAGACATCCGAGCCCAGCGAAAGAGATTCAAGTCCTGAGATCGCCTCGCCCCTTTTCATGATATTCTTTGCCTCTATTAACAATATCCTCATGGATACTGCTAGTTCAAACATCGCGGGGACGGAAAAATTTTGTGATTTTCTTCAAATCTATCTTACCGCCAAGTTTGGCCTGATTGTACAGTACAATACAAACATCTGGTACAATTCCATAAACCAGGGGAAGGAGGTATCGCTATTTTTTAACCTCCTGGGAGAATCATCGGTTCCGAATAAAAGTGAGTCTATGCCTTCTTTTGGGCCTATCTACTTCAGGTACGCCTGGTCTCCGTATTAATGTTTAAACAGGCCCACATAATTGGTAGTGAAAGAATGAATTTCCTCTTGATGCAGAGAGAATGTGTCAAACTGTCGGTCTACTTACCTCCTTTTCAGGGACAGATGAGCTTGACGGAACCAACAGCGTAATGATTCCCAAATCCCCCCATTTAGCGCCAGGCCTGGCCTACCAGATGGTGGGGTGGTTATCTTCAAAGTCAAGTTACATACATGGTTAGTTCACCTCTGATGGGGTGGATGATCAGCTGGCGATTTCCGTCGCAGAGAGTGTTTACTTTGCACCGATGTGTCAATGCTGCAGTATGGTGATGAAAACGATGTGATCATAATCAACATACCTACATGAACAAAATTTAGAGAAAGCATGAAGTGGGAGGGAAATTGTTCGAAATCAAGTGGGGTTCTCGCCCCGAAATGACAGAGATCCCAACATGTCTGTACATACCTACCGGTGCAGTAAGGCTTTTGCGAAAAGTTATGAATAACTACGTTGCCACTGCCAATAACTAATTAAGTACCTAATTAAATAACAGCCATTACAAGATTAAGAACAGGGGTTATGGATAGCTAACCACCCTATCAGGTATCTTGCATACTTGTCCGCTGTTGTATTCCAGTTTCATCTGGCTACCCGTTCTTATGTAACCGCTACTTCTAAGCCAGTTATTTTTCGTTTGCTATCGTTCTCCCCAGAAAGAAACTTGCAGAAACTTGCCTCACCTCTCACAAGTTTCTCAGTTATGAAAAATAACCAAAAATTATACGCCATCAAGTTAGTTAGTGTGAATACACACGAACTAACTAATCTATCCTCGAGTGGACAAGACTGGAAAGATGCCTTACCAAACAACAACCAGGGCCACATCCACACCTACCATCTCAATACTTGACAGGCATAAAGTGAAACAAACCCCAACAGACCAGACAGAATTTCAAGAGCACAACGACGCAAATATTTGTACCGAGAAGAACTGATAGCCACTCATTTCTCTCGCTACTTACGCGCATCGGACCACGGATATTATAACAATACCACAAGACGCCTCGGTCAGCTTAACGTGCCTTCACGCTGAGACGAGGCGATGTTATTTAATTGATGACATTATGAGCCTGAGGCGATCAGTCACCGCTTCTTCCAACGCGGCGCGTGCATTTCAATTGTATGCCCGTAACTCTTCTTGTCCGTTTCGTCTTTTTAGGTTAACCAACTGACATCCAATTCTGACCTGAGAAAACCTACCGACATCTAGTTACTGGGAGTTTCTGCTCTCTCCATGGACCATGGGATAAGATTTCTCTTGCACCAACAAACATGTGTTTTTCATCGCAAACCTTCCACCCTGCAAAACTCAGGCAACGAGGCTAGAGAGCGTAAGGCATCAATAGACCAAAATTGCGGCACGGACAGCCAATTAAATTTGAGATCCCAAATTCCCTCCATCATTATATCATAAAGATTGGCTCTGACTTTGCTATCCTACACTCCCATTCCCTCACTGCCACCCTACGAGTCTGAACCAACCCTATAAAAAATCCATGTAAAATATAACGCGTTCGTGCCTTATCATAGGGCCAAAAGAAAAGAGAAGGGGAAATGAAGACACGACAAGGGTGATTTTAAAAAAAAAAAAAAAAAAAAAAAAAAAAAAAAAAAATCCTAGAAGAAATAACAATAACAACAATGCACGTTATCACGCTGTGATAAGCAGGGAACGCGGGGGACCAGGGACGGGCCGCGGTGCATAATTTAATCTAGCCGAACTTGGCGTCTGCTTGCCATCCGGTCTGGTCCTTTTCTTAAGCAGGGCAAAAGAGGAGGAGAAGACGGAAGCTGGAATCACAGTTCAAAACAGTATTCATTTTCCTTGCTTTGTTGTTAGTTTGGGGCTTGGGGGGCTTATCAGCGCACAATTCCTTACCTGGGTTCAAATGCTGGGGTCGAGGGGTAGTGTGGGGTTGCGATTGGCGGATCGCGGGGGTTTGCTTACTGCGTAGGGGGGTAAAGCTGCATTTGGGCAATCTCACTATCATTGCATTTTGCATGCTCTTTTTCATGATGAGGATGGTGAACTGGGTGGGGAATGCACGGCGAGTTGTGGAAGCCTGCGAGAAGGTGTACTCACTCAGTCAAAGGCCACGAAATCTCTTAACATTCTTCCTCCGTGGCTGACGCCTACAGACAGAGTCAGCTGATGCTTTCCAGCAGCAGACGGGGCATCCATGGATACAACCGCGTAATGCACCTGAGACCATGCCAGTAGATTGCCAGACCGCAGTGGTGTTAACCTGCAGTAGAAGTTGTAACGAAGTTATAACATGTCCCATACAGCTTCTCAAAATAGAACTATAAATCCCACTCTCTTTTCCTAACTTCTCTCCCTAGGCTTTCAGATCAAAACCAGGACGAGCAACAAAGGATGAGCCCTCAGCGTCATCCCATATGCTGCCGGTTTTATGTCCCAGGAATGCATAACAAGGGAACCAGGCTTCGATAACGATCTTTCGTTTTCGTTTGTTTTAATACGGCTCTTTAATAACAACCAATTATGTTGAAGCAAAGATATGAGTGCGTCTAAATTTGGCGCGCTTAGCGCCTGAGTTCTGGGCCTAATTAATCCAAATTGGGCGGTTGCGCACGAAGAGCATATGCTCTTTTTTGTTGTTTTCATTTCGATCTTGTACTCTAGGGCCGTGTTTGATTTGCCAACCCTTTCCTTTGCCTAGCAAAAGAGTAGGCTGATGGACTTGCCGTTTCTCCATTGACAGAAAAGTATCTATCATGTTTCATCTTTAGCATATAGGTCATCTGTGATACAATATCGAGCGTCATCCGTGTTTCATAACCCGTGTAATATATGTCCCGAATTTATAAGTAATTGATTGACTTTCACTACTACAAATAATTACTAGTACTCGACTATTTTCGGTGTGTCCCCAAAATTACCCTGATGTGGCAATTCTGTACTTCTCACTCTCAACTCGAGAGCCGGTTTTACATCACCGAGTTTCTACAACCAGTGCCACCACCCTGCCTGTCAACTAATTTTACCTCCCTAACCTAAGTTCGAACGATTCCCTAAGCATCAACTTAAATGGGGCCACATTCATACATATGTTTCAGGCGACATTCATGCACTGTACAAAGACATTAGCTAGCATCTGATTGTCCGAATGAACAAGAACGGTTGTTATCTCGGTATGATACGAACCTGTTGACACCACCTTTGACTCAGGTACAGGAGATGTATATATGTAGCTTTTCTGAATGAGGGAAAAGGAATATGTCATTGCGCATACTCTAGTCTAGCCCATCAACTTTCTCATCATGCATCTAAATACACCACACAACGTTGGAATTAAAATCAACCACGTCTAGCTTAACAGGAAGCAAATGGGGTACCGACGAAGTAGGACAACCCACTACAACGTCCTGTCCACACCACAATGTCGCCAATACACCTGAACTAAACAAAGCGCATGTCAGACTAACGGGGCCCATATTTCGTGGGCTGTCACTGCGAGGTAGCTAACGAGCACCCTACACGCGGTCTGTGGCAATAGGCCGGGCTGGCCGTCCTTCCGATTTGGTTGATTCAAATCAGCTATCACGCATGCTACCATATATATATGGGGTCTATCTAATGGAATAGCATGTGCGGGCTGGTCAAGTTGACGATGAATTATTACCACGACTGCTCCAGTAACTTACTTAAAATTATTTAAGGTGAACTGTTTCCGTTGTTGCGTTTTTGTGTTCGCATTCATGGCCCGGGGTACCGGGTCCCTGACTTAGTTTATATGTACGGAGTACATGTACATGTACATGTACATTAACCTCAAAGAGCCTATTTACGTCACTTGGTTCTTACTTGGTTTTTTTCGAGGGATGGATTCTGCGACTCGGCGTGGTGCTCGAAAGAGGGGTTAGAGGTATAGGCGACGAGGGCCCAAAGCTACAGGGCAATTAAGCACTTGAAGGAAAGCAAAGCTAAGGAAGGGAAAGATATCAGAAAACCTTTGGCCTAACTAAATTTGAACAATGAACCGGTTTCCATATCTCCTTCTCAGTAGATTTCGGAGCCAATATTTGACATGAATAGTATGGGAAGGAAAACGAAACTGAGGCGGAATTCATCGTCCCCCATTGCGAAGCGTAATGTGGCCTTATCAACCAATCCACATACATAGGGAGCAACATAGGGAGTAATCCTAGAAAGCATTTAACCCTCTTCCAAAACCTAGAATACACCTGGACTAATTCATCCCTCGTTCGCAGATTGCTCAATTGCAATAAATACTTAAACTACACTGAGAGTACAAATATACATAACATGGAGTTGAAAACACGAAAAACGGTAGTTGCATATCAGCTATTATGCACTAAGTTATGCATGAGTTACTGCCCGACGACGACAACGATGAGAGAAGATTAAATGAGATGGAAGAGACAAGCTAAAATAAGATTAACGGACAGAAATTCATTGGAACGGGGAACTTGAAATGGTCCATCATGTTGTTAATTGTGTTGTGCCATGGTCAATCCATTTTCTCCCATATGTTTTGTTTTACCTTAATGGATGGCCCCTTGCCGCAGAAGCCGTGCGCTGTTAATTAAAGGCTATTTACTGTATTTCAGTTTCGACGACTCTTCCCCCTCCAGCACTGGCCTACCAACCTATCATGTATGGCAATTGGGATCTAGGTGTGGGTGTGAGTTGTCTGTATGTGTAATACTCCCACTCTTTCATCACTTTTACAAGAACATGTGAAAATATCCAATTCACAGAAAAGAATGTAGAATATTTATATTAATTTTTACTCAATGGGTTGTTGCTCTGTTCGGTTCTTTCTATTTTCAACAAACAATAACTTTAAACTGAACTGAAATTTGTTTTCCTTCCCATTTCTTTCTGCTCTTAATTTTCCCCAATGGCCTAGCGACCACATTTTTGGAAGTGATTATCCTGTACCGACGGGCATGTATCAATGTTGCCTTAAGCTATCAGGGCAATGCAATACAAGGGTATCTCCTATTCCTATGGCCAAACCAAATGCAAACCAAAAAAGAAGAATCATAAAAGAAACGGGTAGTCAAAATTAATGAATATGAAAGACCAATGGCAAAAGGGTCTACCATTCATCTCAGAGATGATTTTCGGTAGACAGGGATAATTCGAGAGATGCATTTAGAAAAGTCACAGGATACGCCATATGGTATCATTTATTCTGCCCTCCGTTAGAGGACGCTCATCGCCGTTGCGTTTTCGAGAAGGGAAAGAAAAAAATGGGGAGGGAAGTTATGGAGAAGCCAAGGACTTCTGAAAGGGTTGGTCCTTACGGTAATTCCATTCCCGAATATCAATCCTTGCGGGATACCTAGGAGCGTTTTCTCCCAAGCTTTTCCGGCTGTTGGACCATTTAACAGAAGGCCCAGACACCGGATCAGGACGTAAAACGGACAAAATCTTGTTGCTGTGAAATTTCGCCTGTATCGACACCTTCTGTGATTATGATGGGGTCATCGTCAGAATCGTCGGAGTCAACATCATCTGAATCAATTTCATCGTAAGCCTCTTCATCGCTTAAAATATCATCGTCGTCGGCGCTGTCTCTATCATCAGTAGTTTCTGCCTTATTAGCTGCAATCTTGCGGATTTGACCTGCGCGGTCCACGTGAGGGAGCTGGCACTTCCGCTTGCCGCAATTCCCCGTGTTAGCATAGTCGGGACATTCGTGAACATGACGCTGGTCACAGATTTTCCCTTTACTGCAGTAGCCCAGAATCGCAAAATCATGACAAACAGGCGCACCAGGGTTAACTCGAACATGTGCATATCGGCATGATGGATTGGAGCAGCGCCCACGAAGGAAATGCAAACATGAAGGGGACCTTTCCGCGCTTGGTTCGTGAGAAAGGTCACACGCCGAGCCAGCTGCACATTTGCCTGTCTGAAGGAACTCTTTGCAGATGGCAACTTTATCAGGATCGTGGATATAGGGGCAATTTGGCCCTTTGAAGCAGGAACCTAGAAAACAGATATTCAAGTCAGCACAGCAAAACGCACAATTCCCCAATCTAAACCCGTATGGTCAATCGGCATCATGATGGTGGGTGTGGTGAAGTCTTCCGGAGGGAGAGAGTCGGGTACCCGTCGAAGTAAATCTTTTGCAGCGTTCATTCTTTTTCTTAACAGTCCCAGTTTTCCTATAGTTTATATAAGTTAATGACATATTGAAGAAACCCTATCAAATAAACGCCGTCAGCCTGGTACATACTTTCTTGAAACCACTGATCCTAAACGATGCAGGTTTCCTTTTTTGCTTCTTACGAAGTTTACACCACCAATGTTCACCTTCTTGGGAGTAACGTTCGCCGCCGACGGTTCATCTAGAAAGAGTAAGCCAGTTTCAGAATCGCCAGCTATGGGGATATATATCTCACTAGGTAACCGAATTAGTTTGCTCCCGCCTTGTACTACTTGGAACGGAACATCTTGAATAGTGATTCGGTAGGAAGCTGCTCGTTGTCCAACAACCGGAGTTGCGACCGGTCGGTATCCGCCAACGCCCTGTACATATCTCAAGACCTTGGCCTCCTCTCGCTGTGCTATCCTCTGGGCTTTGAGCTTGCGGCTCTCCTCGATAGCCTTGGTTCTGGCTTGAGCTTCTTTATCATATATTGCAGAGTTTATGAGTTGCATGTGGCGGTCCCTTTTAGCAACCCATCCATTTTGGCATACAGGTTTTGCTTCATTCATTTCATCAGTTGATGCATTACAGGATGGGGTGCCGCTCGCACTTTCTGCCGGCGTAGAGAGGTTGCTGAGAACTAGCGTTCGATTTCGATGAGGAGCTGCATGGCGTCTCGAACTTGGATGGCTGGCTCGTCCACGGTAGGGAGCCCATCCCGCGTGACGTCGCGGGTGAGTTGAGGGGTAAGATGTATAACGTCCGCCTCGTGATGGTTGGGTTGGGGGTGTAGCCTGGTTTTTATGCTGATTGATTTGCCCTTGAAGCACATTAGAATAAATCAAGTTTCAAAATAAGCCCAGATGGGAACTCACCAGCAAGCAGTCCAATTTTAGCTAAGAGATCCTGGTCTTCTGTCATGACAAAGTTCGCTCTAGGGCCACTGTAATCCTTGTAGATGCTTATCACCTGTGTTGATATAATACGTCGACGTTGGAGCAAGGTGAATTGAAAGGAAAACGTCCCTGCCATTCGAAATGTCTGGAGATCCATGACGTGTGGTAGTCACGTGGGTGCATCCGTCAAGACACTTCGTCACGTGGCGGTGTCAAAGCCAGAGCAAATCGTCAACCTGCCTTCCTCCCAGAAGTGAATGAGCCGAATGACATCCACGACTTGAGCTGCTGAAACTACGGAGCGGGTATTTGGAAAATATCGCATTTACCCACGGATATAATATTGAATGACAAAAGTGGGAAACGGGCAAATTCCAGACACTCCTGCAGCCACTTTGAAATAACTCTAACATACTTCGACGTCGCGTGAACGAATTTTCAAGCCTTATATCAGATAATTGCCGCTGGATATACCCGTGACATGGCTTCGGGACCCGGCCCTGGAGGCCAGCGAATTAAACAAGAGCCAAGCCCAATACCTATGCTCAAGCCAGACCCCGATGCCAAACCTGAAACCTCTGGGCCCGTATCCGACGATGATATATACGAAGATACTGGAGATTTGGATTTTTCTAATTCAATGCAAGATGTTTGGTTGACCCGTATACCGAAAATGCTTTGGGAAAATTGGTCAAGGCTCGAGGATGATGAGGAAGTGCAAATCGGCAGCATCAGGGTGGAGGGCGGCCCTACGGACATTAAACGTGTATGTGCCTCACTTTCCATGTCATTCTCTAGAATTGGCTACTACAGCAAAAGCGAGAATAAGAATAACAAGAATAACGAGGAGAAGAAGAAGAAGAAGAAGAAGAAGAGGAAGAAAGTTAATTTATCTCCGTATAACAGGTTAGCATGCGCCTTAATGACATACCCCAAATGAAAGGTGTTCCAAAAGATTACAACCTGCGACGACAAAATGTCAATCCTGATAAGTCAGCCTATGCGGTACAGAACACATTCATTTTCACCGAAAAGGACCTACCGGGATATCGGGACAGGACGCATCTACTGTTTAATGAAGCGCAGCCGCATGGAAGATCATACCTATATGAGCAGACAAAAAGAGAGTCTAGGAAACGAAGCAATCGCAAGAAATGGGAACCCTACACTCGGAAAACAATACCAAGTACGTTTATCTGTTCTACGGAGCTTTTTAGGACAATATAGGAACATATTAACAGATTGTTTCTATTGCATTATCTAGAACAAACGGCAAAACGCTTCAGAGAAGAGAGAGGGCCGTGACGAATTTAACTGCCTTCCGGTAGAAAATGAGGAGTATCAGAGAATGGCTGAAGCTCGGGCACTTGACGTTCTTAAACCCAAGCGCGAAACATTATATATTGGCAAAGTCAGCGGTGAGATGCTTAAACCTAAGACCGTTGCTGCCGCCGATAAATCAACTTTTATTGTAAGTCCCAATACATATTCTCCTCTAACCCAACTATTGCCTTAAGTATTTCCCTTTCCTAACTTTTCGATCAGCAAGTTGCCAAACCTCCTAAAGTGCGCGCTCAAGAGAATAAGACGGCGCGCATGCCCCAAAATGAGCTTCTAGATCTTATCTATGGCTGCTTCCGACAACATAAATACTGGCCATTCAAATCTCTCAAAGCAGAACTCAAGCAGCCCGAAGCTTACCTCAAGCAAACCTTGGAAATGGTAGCCCATCTTGTCAAAAGCGGGGATTTTGCCATGACATGGGAACTTAAGCCAGAAGCCAGGGAAAGCAACTACGCAGACGCCTTGGCGTACAGAGATGCTAAGGAGGAACTCCCGCCTACAGCGGGTTACAATTTCGACTCGGAAGGAGAGCCAACTGCTTCGGGTGTTGGTACTGATATGGACGATGATGACGCGAATGTTTCGTTTGAGAATGTAGTATAGATTGGCGGAACGGTCATCCAAACGGAGTAACAGGATATGGCGTCTGAGAATAATCTATTAGTAGAAGGTGCCCTTCTCTTTTTCTTATTTATTTTATGTACCCCCCGCAAGGAACATTAGAGGATAACTAAGTTTAACTGGACCAATGTCTTAGTAAATAGTTTCCGCTGTCCTTGTTACACAGCTTTTGGTGGGTGCAGATGCATGTCCTTCTTTTCGAGTCACGGCCAAACGACTGGAGTTTATTGATTATTCCCAGTTAATCAGCAAACCGATTCCGTAACCATATCCATAAATTAACAGGTAAATCTTCAGCAGATTCGAGCATAAACCATGAAGGAGGTAGTAATTTATCAGCGCTAACGTGTAGTCAAGCATGATACACTTGCATTATCAGGGTTACCGCTATGCTCGATTGAACCTTTTGGCAATCCTGGCGCTGTGGTTGGCTGGTGAAGCGCTTGACGCGGGAGTTACACGCTCTTGGCTCAAGCTGTACTCCGTACGTAGGCCTCAAATAAGGCTAGTATAACCTATTAAAATGAAATACAATGGGTTGTGACTAGGATGGAATGGTACTTTGGTGACCTAAGTCAAAACTGGATTACAGTATTTTGTACAAATGTTTCCTGGTGATGATGGATTGCAAAGATTGAGTGATTTTTGTATCGGGGGGATATTCACGGAAGAGCCAATCTTCCAAGCGCATGTCGAATGATTTGTTTTTTACACTTCCAAATCGAAACTGCTGTCAAAAAAACGCTGCGAAAAGGTGGTGTGCATGTGACTCGGTGGGGCAAGGAGAACCACGAACAAAGGAGTATCTTCAAAGGTTTAACGACAACAAGACTCAACATCATCCAAGGGCTGTAAACAACCTAACTTGATTGTTCTGCTCGACCAGCTCCGCCAATCTGCTCCATCCTACCTGCGCTGTGGGGCGGCCGTTGCACCCTATCGTTAATATTCCACCCCGCGATTTATTCCAAGACTTTTCCCCCTTCGCCCGCACCCCTTTACACCACCTCCTTCTCTCCATCAAACTCAACAGATTATATCCTAACAAAGGCCCAGAAGATACCTCCGTTTGAAAGCTCACCAGGCCTTCGGCGCGTGCACAGGCAACCTCATTATACTCTCATTCTGAATCAAGGACCACCGCGACTACATCTATTGAGCTGGTCACTGCATTCAAAGAAATTCGTGAACACGGTGACTACGGCGTTTCACCATCAACCTATGCAGCTGCTGACGTTACCGTATAGGTAAATAACATTTATCTGTGATCGAGAGCGATTTGCACACACTGCATTTACTAGCACTCGCAAGCTGCGTGCTTCGCCGCTCGACGGGGAGCTTATGTCTACTACGGTCGGCGACAAGGCACTCGGCGGAGAATGGGAGGAAATTTCCGCTTGTGCATTTGAGATAACGGAAGATATGACCATGGAATTCCAGGGTAGATCATGCAATGTTGTGGACAGCGAAGGAAAATTGGTTGAAAGCTTAGGTGTAGGACTCGGACAAACAACGAGAGAGGTCCTTACTGGTTATCGGTGTTACGTGATAAGGGCTCGGGTTAAGTTTGAGAAGAAGTCGGTATGAAGCGCGACCGCAGTTTCCATTCATATATATATTTAGAGATACCTTCATGCAGTACATAAAAGTTCATCCTCTAGCTTCTTCTGTAACGCCTTCCTCAAACTCTGGAGTATCTGGGTCCCCCAACCCGAACAAATTGAAGATGTTATATCCTTGTTGGTAACCGACCCTGACCACAAAGAGAGCGTCTTCATTGACTCTGGTAGGTACATAGATAGACAATTTGTGATCTCTAGCCCTCCTCTCTTCTTTTCCTGGGCCCACAAATTGCTCGTCTTCATCCCGGTTCGAAATGGCTCGGGGAGATTTTCAATCATGTGGCGCCTCGTGAAAGAGAAAGAATAGTACTGGCCCTGTCCTGGCAATTCCAAATTACCTTGACAATGTCAACCACAAGACCGAAATTTCATGAAAGGCAGTTGAACCAACCTGGAATCTGCCGTGGTGCCAACCCCAGTCGTTTAGACAAGCGTTCATCCGTCACCTGATAATTGGTTGTTGTATCGGGTTGGTTCTGGGGGATATCACGGGTCACGACGCGATCATGTTGGTTCCTTCTCTCAGAGCAGTTTTGTAATCCATCTTGGAAAGGCTGAGCTGCAGGGATGATGGAGTCTTGCTGCAACCAGAGCGCTGGAGATTGGACTGCTGTAGAGCGTTCGAGAAGTGGGGGAGCGGATTCTAGTGGTGGTTAAAATAAACAACGGGTTCAAGGGATAAGCATTTTGTTCGTACCTAAAGTTTGTTCTGGGACTTGAGATATGGGCTGATACTTTCGTTTTCTCGGTCGCTCAACTTGCTGAGCGTTGTCAGACCTTCCAAACCACCTTCCCAATGGCCCCTACTCGTCGGGCGA